TGTGTGTGTGTGTGTGTGTGTGTGTGAGAGAGAGAGAGAGAGAGAGAGAGAGAGAGAGAGAGAGAGAGGTGAATTAGAGGTCAGTTTCGGTCTTCTGTGTGCATATCCAGTTACCATGGTACCATTTATTGATCTGTCCATTTTGTCATGAGTTTGTCCTAAGTTAAATGTCAATTTTCAAGTATGTTTCTGGGTTCTCTATTCTTCTCTGTTTGTCTGTTTTCTATCTTTGCATAAGTCTGTGTAGACTTAGTTATAAATTTAGTAATGGGTAACATTTTACTGCACTTGCCTCATTCCACCCGTTTTTGCTGAATAATTTAAAGTAAATCACGGATATCTTGACATTAGTGAAATGTTCTCACTGCACAGTAGTTCACGATCATGTATAAAGTATAGGGACATTTTCTACTTAATTGAAATATCATTTTCACACTATAAGTAACAGTTTTGCCTAACATTTTTTTAATGCACTGTCCATATAGAAGTGCTCCATAATGTTTTCTAGTTGGGTTGTCTTTCCCCTGCAGGATGATGACGTTTTCCTGTTTTTCTGTGTGTCCTATAACTGGATTGCAACCTGTTCATTTGGATGTTTTAAGACCTTGGGTCTTGTTTGAAATCCTTGACATGTTACTTTATTTAAGCAGGCTGTCAATCGAATACATTGAGGTCACCAGTCCTAACCTGCCTTCTGTGTGTGGTTCCAAGGACACCCCATTGTGTCCATTGTGTTGTCCCACATGGTGGCCTTCCTGAAACTTGGGCAGTGGGTCCCTGTTTTCAGTTCTCACAGCCTTTAGTCTCCCACTTGGTCAGGTTCATGCCTGCACAACTCAGGTGGACCCAGGATGGTACACAACTTGGAGGGAAACCTCCTTAGTTTCTTCACAGTCTCCCCTTGTTGGCGCCACTTTTCAGTTCTTCTGGACAGAAAACCAGACCTTTACTTTTAGTGTCCTGTCCTGTCAGGCCCCCCCACACACACACACACAGACACACACGCTGTGCACTTCCTGCAGCTGTGTCCACCTGTGCAGCCAAGTTGCAAGGGAACGGAGAGAAAGAAGAAACAATGTTGCTCCTGTGCTCTTGGGAACTCGGACTTTCCTGTGAGAGACGGATTACCCTGCTTCCGTTTCAGTTGCCAGTTGCCTGGATGCCCCTGCTGCTGCGTGATGCCTTTGGGGCCGGGCAGGAGATAGTGGGACATGAACACAGAAAGTAACATTCCTCTGGCCATGGGGACTGCCCGTCTGCCCCTCAGACCAGGAATCAGGGGCGCCTTCTCCTCACGCCTGGGAGCCCTTCTGGCATTCAGGCTGCCTTTGAGTTTAGGACTGGAGGAGGAAAAACCCAGACACTGGCCACCAGGTCGGCACTATTTTGAGTTCCGTTTCCCTCCCCAGTCAGCTTGCCACCACTTACATTTTCGTCCTCAGCTGCTCTGTGCTTCCCGTCCACTTGTTATCGCATTCAGTGGGAGAGACGGGCTGGAGTGTACTCACTCCGTCTTTACAGGACTGGAGCCGCTCAGTGTCTGTTTTATGAATGAAAAAGCAAGCAAAGTTGCAGCATGTAGAAATACCGTACTAGTAAAATGAAAACAGAAGGTTCAGTCTAGATTGAGCAAACGTCTCGAGTAAGTGGAAGGCGTGGGAAGGAGGGGCAGTTGGGGAAGGGGTTGGGCAGATCAGGTGGGGGCTTTGCAAGTCATGTTAATGGACTTAAACTTCATTACTGGGCTAAGATGGAGTCACCAAGACTTTCAGCAGGTGAATGTTGTGGTGGGATCATTCTAGCCACAGTTTGGAAAACAGATTTGTTGGAAGAAGACCAGGAAAAGGGATACCGTTTATGAGCGGTTGCGGTAGCCTGGTCGGGATATAATCACCTGAACTGTGCGGGGTCCTGGGAATGGAAGGAGGTGACAGATGGGTAACAGCCAAAGGCCTGGGGCCCAGAGGACCTGCTGAGTGACTGGGTAAGAGACAGGAAGATGGAGGAATCACGATTGACACCCCTCTTCCTCTTGGTATTATTATTTCCATAAAAAAGGATGAATACGTTTGAGGGGGAGGGGAAGAGTATGCATTTGTGACGAGTGAGTTTTGGGGTTCTGTGGTCTACCTTGCTATGTAAATGCTGTGGGCAGCTATCTTATCCTGAAACTTAAGAGGGGGATCACAGTGCAGCTGCTCAAGTTTAAATCATTTGGAGATTCTAAAACACTCCCAGGTCCCACAGCAGAAATTCTAAGTCATTATTGGGTGGAACTCAAAGATTTGCACTTTTAATGAGCTCCCATACAATGCTGATGCTGAACTGAATTACACATTTAGGCTTCATAAAACTTTGAATTTTCTGTGTAAAATGCCTGTATGCCTATTGTGTAATTTATTGTTAAGCGACTCTCGCTAGTGTGTTTTCTAACAAGTTATATTGTTTCTATAAGAATGCTAGTGAATTTGTATATTTATCCCTCAAGCTTTATTGTAGCAATAAAAATACTTAAACCTTTCTTGATTGATTCTTCCCTGCAAATACTGCAAAGTATTTTTTAATTAATAAACTTTATTTTTTAAAGCAGTTTTAGGTTCACAGCCAAACTGAGTGAGAAGTACAGTGCTCATGTACCCCTGCTCCCTTGTCCCCCACTGTCAACAGCCCACATCGCAGTGGTACCTGTGTTACAACTGACGAGCCCTGGTTGACATATTACCACCCAAAGTCTGCAGTTTACCTTAGGGCTCACTCTTGGTTCTGTCCATTCTGTGGGTTTGGACAAATGTATAATGACAGGTACCCACCATTATGGTGTCAGACACGGTAGTTTTGCTGCCCTGCGGTCCTCTGAGCTCTGCCCATTCATCCGTCCTCCCCCACCCCTGCAACCATGATCTTGTGTCTCCACAGTTCTGCCTTTTCCAGAATGTCATAGAGTTGGAATCACACCTAGCTTTTTCAGATTGGCTTCTTTCACTTAATGTTATTCATTTAAGTTTCCTTTATATCTTTTGATGGATTGAGAGCTCATTTCTTTTTGTGCTGAATAATACTCCACTGTCTGGATGCACCGGTTTTCCTTTCCATTCTCCTACTAAAGAACTTCTTGCTGTTTCCAAGCTTTTACAATTACGAATACAGCTTCCATAAACATACATGTGCAGGTTTTCATGTGAACATAAGTTTCCATCCCCTTGGGTAAATACCAAGGAGCGTGATTCCTGGAGCACATGGTGAGTGTGTGTTTAGTTTTGTAGGAAACCGCCCAGCTGTTGCAAGTGACTGGACCATTTGCATCCCTACCAGCAGTGACTAAGAGTCCCTGCTGCTCCACGTCCTCACCAGCGTGTGATATTGTTAGTGGATTGGATTTTCTATAAGTTAGTGGTTTTGTTCCCCTCTCAACAGTAAAATTTTCACTCCACTATCTCCCTTCTGTAGTTTCAGAGAAGTCACATGTAATTTTATCTTTGCTCCTATGTAGGTAAATTGTTTTCCCCCTCTGGCTTCTTTCAAGATATTTTTCTTTACCTTTGGTTTTCTGAAATTTGAATATATGTCTAAGTGTAGCTTTTTGACATTTGTCCTGCTTTGTGTTCTCTGAGCTTCCTGGATCTGTGGTTTGGTGTCTGACATTAATTTGGGGAAATTCTTGGGCATTATTGTTTCAAATACTGCTTCTGTTTCATTTTTTCCCTCCTGGTATTCCTGTTACATGTACGTTACATCATTTGTGGTTATCCCACAGTTCTTGGTTTTCTGTTTTCTTTGTCTTATTTCTCTTTGCTTTCCACTTTTGGAAGTTTCCATTGAGAAATTATCCTCTAGCAGAGATTTGTTCCTCAGGCAAGTCTAGACTACTTGTGAGCCTATCATTTATCTGTTGCAGTGGATTTTTATGTCTCCTCTCAGGTTCTTTACATACTTTTTACTCTAAATATAATGAACTTTTGTTTCTTACAGTGTTAGTTGTTTTCTTCTGTGTCCTGTTAGTCTACCTTTTTCTATTCTTAGCTCCTGAAGAGAATTATTCAGTTTATATCCCCAGGGTTCTTAGTGAGGTACTCAGATATGGGATTCGTTTATAGAAGAGCGAGGAGAGTAATTTAAGATTTTCCCTTTATTGAGACAATTGTCTTAACAGCTACTTCACTGCATCCCCTATTCTGATCTTGCATTTTTATGTGCCTGCCATATGGGTATATAGATCTTGGTTCATCGCTTAGATACATATTAATGAAATATGAGGTCTATTTACTTTCTCCTAGAAGTTTACAGTGATAATAAAAGATAGTATTCCCCCCAAACAAAATAAATGTCAAAGTGTGTTTTAGAGAAAAATAAATTTTTTTTTTTTAAGATTTTTATTGGGTAATTGCGGGGATGGGAACAGTGCTGGGGAATTGGGGGAAGGGGAACAGACAAGTTGCTGTCGTTTTGTTCTTCAATCTAGTTGTGGAGGATGCTGCTTCACT